TATACTTTGTCTGAGTGGGGTATTCATGTTAAACTGCGGCATGGTATCTCAGTGAGATAGCACTATAAATCGGCATCAGTCCGGACTAGTACAAGCAGCCACACACACGCACACGCGTGCATGCACGTCGCTATATAAGTCAAATAATCTTGGACGCGACGTTAAACCCAATTTCACCTCACCTCACCTACACTGATACCATTTTCAAATCGTAGCCTGTATTAAGGAATATATTTTAGATCTTAAATCAGAGTATAACGGACAGCCTGAGCTGGAGGCGCGCGTGGATATGTTGACAGTTTTTACGTAGTTAGTGTTAAAACCGAATGTTTGCGAGGATTAATAAGATTTCTGAATTTCAGTTACGACAGTAACCGTACATGTATTTGTTACATTAAGTCATTTCATTCAAATTTGTTTGGTATGATTATGTCTTATAATTATTTTAGGATGGAAGGTACAGTTACCAAATAAAATATGCTGAAATATCAATTCATTATGACCATATTTCATAATCTATTTTTTAAAGTAACCCTCCTTACATTAAAAATAACTAGTATTTAAAGAATATAGTACTTAAAGACATTGCAACAAACCGAATAATCAGAGGGGAGACTTTATACTGAGGGGGGCGCGAAACATGTCCGCCCGGGGGAGATTTTATTTCAGAACAGATTCTCCGGGGGAGAGTTTATACCGGGACACCGGCAGTTCATGCACCCGATGTATTGAACACATGATAATAGTTGGTATGTCAGTACGTCATACCGACCCAGCCCGTGAAGATCCGGGGTAGAATAGGTCTTCAGCAACCCATGCTTGCCGTTAAAGGCGACTGTGCTTGTCGTAAGAGTCGACTAACGGGATCGGGTGGTCAGACTCCCTGACTTCGTTGATGCATATCATAGTATCCCAATTGCGTGGATCGATGCTCATAGTGGCAATCACTGAATTGTCTGGTCCAGACTATATGCAGACCGCCATCATATAGCTGGTATATTGCTGAGTGCGGCGTAAAACAACAAGCAAACAAGCAAAAAACAAAACAAACATACCTGTATGAGATTTATGTTTTGATCTTTACATTTTTGTGACATATTTATATGCATACATTTATCCTTGTTTAAACACCAGCAATTATGAATATTTAATTGTACTCTGTTTATAGTGTTTTTTGCATTTAGTTTTGATGCGCTAATTAGTTTTTTTTAGTCAGTTGAAGAGTTTGAGTTGTCTGAGTGTGTATAAATTTGCTTAAACGTATTTCTAAATTTTGCTTCATCAAAGCTTAGCAAAAACTTAGTATTATCCTTTAAACAAGCTTACTTAATTTAGTATATTATTCAATTCAGTATTTGCACATTGCACTTTATTGCTGCTGCGCTATACTAATTAATCTAATAACACCCCAAATCCCCTCATCGGCATTTAGTTGGGCTTTTGTGCTTTTGGTTCTTGTATTCTGGTTTTTGTTTATATTTTGCATCAGGTCATAAGGTGTTCTGTTTATTTTTTGTCGCGTGTCTCGCATTTCTGTGATCGTATGTTGTGTGCTCGTGTTGTCGCGTTGTTGTCACGCAGTGTTGCATCGGCTTGATGTGATATTTTCGGGCAGAGCTGTCGAATTTGATATTGCATTCCGTGTATTTACGATGTAATTCAATATAAAACTTGGGTGTTTGTGTCATTCTTTTGCAATCTTCTCTGAATTTAATTGTGTTTATTACCTAATCTCAATTAGTTCAGTGATGTGCACTTCAGGTAGTTGAGTAAAAACGCACTCACAACGTTGTGGGTTTCAATTTCAAAACAATATCTACATGTCTCTATGGGCAGATCTACTTCTATTGTAGCTATTACTTTGAAAAGATTAATTATGAAAAATATTATTGACTTTACTTCTGTAGATATATTAATGTCAACAGTAGCATGTATACCTCTGTGTTTGTCCCAACTTAATACCCCAGGTTCCTTGAAAACAATAATAAATGTCTAGGAAAGACATTGTTTTGAAAACATATCACCAGTTTTGTTTTCATAATATGTTTGTTTTCTAATTTTATATTACATAAATATTTAAACAGAAATATACCATATTCTCTTTCCTGATTCTGAAGGTACTACGTGCAAATTACAACTTGTTTTATCTTCTGGTTTACACGTGTGCGCTTTATTACAGTATAGGTACGTGCATCAATAGGTAGGTAAGCTACATAATGTCTTGCGTCGTATTGATCCTCTGGCTCAAAGTTATCATGTCATAATATTGAAATGTACAGGTCTTATTACACTACCTTGTGGGTTACCATTTTAAATTTAATGAATACAGGTCCAATGCGAACTTGAATAGACCTTTTAGAAAGAAACGAGTGAATCCATCTGAACATGTTGCCTTTTATCTCCAGCTTCTGTAATTGGAAAAGAAGTCCTTGTCTCCAGATTATATCATTTGCTTTCTCAATATTAAGTGAGCGAGTGAGTGAGTATGGTTTTACGCCGCTTTTAGCAATATTCCAGCAATATCACGGCGGGGGACACCAGAAATGGGCTTCACACATTGTACCCATGTCGGGAATCGAACCCGGGTCTTCGGCGTGACGAGCGAACGCTTTAACCACAAGGCTACCCGACCGCCCCCTCAATATTAAGGAAGACACACTTAATTACATATATCATTTTGTGCTCCTGTCCGAAGCCGTACATGATGATCTGTACATGAAGGTCTCTTTCTAAAGCCTGGCTGCATTCTTGACAGAAGCCTAATCTTCTCAAGAAAATGATGAAATCAATTTGTGACAAATCTTGATTTTGCATAGATTGGAAGTTAGGTAAATTGGTCTGATTGAAGCAGGCATTGTTGGATCCTTCCCTGGTTTGGTTACTGGGACAATGATGGCATGTGTCCAGGTTTTAGGAATAAACCAAGAACTCCGGTTCCAACAAGTATTAAGCAGCTCTCGGATAATTAAAACATAATATCAAGCAAGCAAACTCCGACGTTCATACAGTTTGGCCCTCACTATATGAAAGTTCATACCCAAATAAACTCACACAAAGTGAAGGTCAATTCTTACATACATACATACATACATACATACATACATACATACATACATACATACATACATACATACATACATACTTACATACTTACATACACACATACATACATACATACATACATACATACATACATACATACATACATACATACATACATACATACATACATACATACATTACATACTTACATACATACATACATACATACATACATACATACATACATACATACATACATACATACATATATAATCATAGTAATTCACCTCGTATTGTTATCAACGTTAACTGTGGGCAACACTAATTAGGATGTCTCTCCATATGTGTAGTTTACCAAAGTAAACATATCAACTGTGATAACACCATTATCACAGAGATGGGAGCGGCCAGGTAACTTAGCTACTGTTTAAAGCGTTCGCTCCTCACGCGGAAGACCCAGGTCCGATTCCCCACATAGGTACAATGTGTGAAGCTCATTTCTGGCGTCCCTGCCAGATTGGGCTGTAATATTCCTTAAAGCGGCGTAAAACCATACTCACTAACTTAGAGCGGTGTTCATCAAATTACTATATGCAAGTACATATACTTGTATAGATTTGTACAACACAAGAGACACAATACAAGTTGATCATAAATCAAATGTCAAAAAGTATATTGACGGACACCAGCATTATGATATTCACACTGTAAGATCAAATACTACTCAAAACAAGTTAAAGAACACCCACAAGTATAAGTTTTGCAATACAACCACTCATGACTGATTAACCATAGACATATGAAAGAATCGGGTATTCTTTAACTACTAAGAATATTGCTATGACCCGCTACGCTCTGACGGCGTGATGTTTCCATAAAACACCTAATTAGAGCCATAAATTAATCGCAGAAATCCGTGAATTGTTTCAATATCCCCTTAGTCTGTACAATTATTATGTTTAAGTGAATAGAGAGTAAATTTCAACATTTCCTCAATAGGAATAATTTGAAATGTGACTGGAAAAACTCTCTTTTATGAAGAAAAAACACCTATGCCCCACAAAAAAACAGCAACAAAAGCCCATGTACCTCCGGTTTAATGATGTCACTTCCGACTTGGGACGATACATGTCTGGTGAAGTAGAACCATAGTGGCATGCCTCCAGGTACCCCAATAATGAAGTCGTGTGGCAGGAGAGCTGCTGTGCGGATTAGGCCACAAACACTTACTTTCTTTATGAAAATCGTGCGAGTAGTGGTTGCTACCGGTAGAGTTGGACACGCTTACCCATTTCGCACCTGGTGTCAGCACTGATTTTAAGTGATCCATTCATATTCATGTAAATGCCGCCACTATTTTGCCTTTTATACCCAATGGAATCTGTTTCTGCGGATAATCGATTATTTTCTGCCCTTGACGTTTTATAATTAATGAAAACGGCTGTTTGACCGATATGTGTCGAGTTCCTAGATTAAAGGACTAAAGAATTTTTTTAAAGAATGATGCTGTGAGACACTTCCCCCTTTGATGAAAGACATAGAGGATATTTCATGTGTCGAGTGAAATATCTCCTTTCCCCCCGTCACGAGATTCATATTTATTATATACTTTTGGTGTAGTTGTCTGCGGGAAGATTAAATTATTTCATTACAAATGTTAAACCTTCAAGCGTAAATTCTCCCTACATAACACACATGGATGGTTTTCCACCCCCTGTAAGTACGACTAAAAATGTAGTTCCGTCTTTGCTAAATCTTAAAAAATATAAACAAAAGTAACTAAAAATATTTGATGTCACTAAAATTCTTTAGTATAAATTTGGATATGATTATATACAAAATCAACTTCATCAAAAAATAAATTTCAAATCAATGAGGCGGTTGTTCGAAGCGAAAGAATACACGCAATTCAAGTAACAAAATGGCGCTTTGCGAAACGTAAAGTATCGACTGGCAAATCAGAAGAGAAATTCACAGTTTAATACAATTCATTTTCAACAAAATAAACAAACGATAAGAATCGGTATTAACTACATAAATGACCATCTGTCATTATATGACTTGTCAACGTTGAACTGACGTAAATCAACAGTTTGTGTACGAGCTGTCTCGTGTAGGCCAACATAGTTCCGTCAACATGTTATGTTCACTGCAGTGAAATATCAGGTGTTATGTTCACCGCAGTGAAATATCAAGTGTTATGTTCACTGCAATGAAAATATCACTTTTTTCAACTTCAGAAAACTCAGTCTTTCACACTGAAGTATATAATAAACCTGTTATCTCATGATGAAGATTCCTAGCATATAACCATAGCAATAACAGCTAAATGGCACCCAAGTCGATTAATGTCAAAGGAACAAGTTCGTGCAGTGTAACATAGCAGCAAACATAACAACATCTTGAGAAGAAAAATATTTTGGTTGTACGCGAGCTTCAAACAGATCACAGATCACTGAGTACAGTGGGGTTTTTAGTGTGTAGAATCCAGCATGACTTCTGAATGCTCGGATAACGTTTTGAAGCGCTATAAAATAACTTAAACTAAAACAACAGCCTAACCTAGAATATATTATGGCCGTTCCTAAACTACTTAATATCTGTTGTTGCAAAGTTTGAGAAGAAATGGTCAATGCAATTTACTGACATACTTTAATAACAAATAGTTTCTAGGTCTGTATGTATACAAGTCTTGTTTAAATATTAAAAAATATGAATATTATTCTGTGTAATACATAATATGCCCTTTGACTACATCACAGTGGCATGCTTGCCCGGACAATGTTCTTTGTGAAATATATGTCTGCTGAGCTGTATGATGAATACTAAAAGGAAGACATTAAAATAACTGTTTTGTCTCAGACAAAAATCACAGACACCTTTTCTTCCACCACACAGACACGGCTGATCGATAGAGGCGTGGACTACTCAGTCGTGGTGTTGGTTTGTTGGTGAAAACTGTTCCCTCGGAAGCATGCACGACACACCGCTAGATATTTGTCTTTGCCCCCGATCACCTCCACCTGATAACATAAACATATTGTTTAATAATAATCCACGAGGGCCGCAGGGTTTATTATCCCTGTAGTGTTTTATTGTGCGCAAAACAACGACCGCGAGTCGTTTATTTCTTATATAAGATAACAAAATTATGAACAGCTTCTTGAGGGTCTACGACGTCATCAAGTTGCGAGTGTATTCTCGAATCATTCGTGACCAACTCGTGTTATTCCGGGACAAGCCGAATAGCGACTCGTGCCCCTCTCATGGCCATTCTTGCGACCGGGTTCCGTTTGAGCGCAAATGGGCATACCTAAAACAATTGTCAACTCGTTGCGTAATGGTTCACGTATATGTCCCCATATATTATGTTTTTCAAATGCAATTTAAAGCATTTCGGGACAGTATGATTGAACACATTCAACTGTGTCTTGGGTATATTGGGTGTAAAATCAAAAATATGTCTGAGGGATTCTTTGACGAAGAACTTGAAATCATACGCGCATTCTGATTGGTTTGTCGTATTTTCTCAAATAATATTCATCGTTAGGGGGACGAGTCTTCTTGCATGTTACGGAAAGGCGCGAGTGGTGACGAATGTTCTCGAATCTGCAGAAATGACGTAATGATAGAACAATGTTAAATCGCGAAATAACCACTCTTCGTTATTCATTGTTCTTTGCGATTTATAGCGTAGTTCTCTTATCAAGCATTACATATTCAGATATGAATGGGTATTAAGTAAATTACGAATATCAATGTAATAGGGTTTGACAACTGAGGGTAACTCACAAAACAAAACAAACTGACATGCACTACATATAGTTTTATTTTAATTTGCTACAGTAGCATTCGTTTTATTAATTCTGGAACACAGGTATAACAATTTCCCAACTTTTCTCAAATTACCCCACTGATAAGATGTATAAGCGTAACATTTTTTCTATTGAATATTCCAACGTTAATCATTTGATGCAGTCATTCACGTTTGCATGGCGACCTTCCATCTTACACGAATATGTATAAAACATTGTTTTAATAAATATCAATAAATGAAGTTTATTGTCTATAATAACGCTCTGCAATACTGCAACTGTATAAGGCGTTTTATTACAGATGTAGCTTTGAAAGCTTTTAAAAACCCAGCTTATTATATGACAATGATAGAAAATGATAGAAAATTAGATTATACTTTGGATATTTATGGGCGAATATTTAATCCGAAACTGTACTTGATTAAAATGTGCTGATATATTTTATTTGTATTATCTCCATGTCACAGTTGGTGCCCATGGGGATATTATCTATGACATAGTCCTGTATTTCACATATTGTTTACTCAGTAAACTTTAGATGACATTTGTCTTCCTTTTTGACAAATTGTCCTTAGCATATGGTCACCATATTTAGTGTCAAATGCCCCATTGACCATGGAATGAAGCTTTTCCTTAGCTTTGTCGTGTCGGTGTCGTACAAAAGTAAAAAATAAAATGTTTTGACATATTTGAGTTTCTGAGAATCCACATGGTGTTAATTCTATTTGTATCAAATACTCTTGGTGACGATTAAGAACGTTCTTCCTTGATTGTAGTCAGGATTATGGTTAATCTTTGGGATAGAGAGTTGGCGGTTCATTTGTTGGACCCTGCAAACGAGTTTTATGGAGCCTTGGAACCCTGGACCAAAAAGGAATGCACATGTCTTCAGGTTTGAATAGTACTGATTTGTGATTTTGTCAAAACTCTCAAATGTGGCATTATATGATGTGTCAATTAAACCAAGTTCATTGATCAAACAATTGATGCATGCATAATGCACATAATGGTTATGTTTTTTAAGTCCTGTTAGCTGGAACAAACCTTACATGTAGGACAGCCAGACTTTAGATGGCTGGGACAGAAGGGGTTTATTCCGATTCTGTTTTCTCAGTTTGTGCATTCTACCAATGATAACATCAGCCACTCAACAGCTTTGTCTTCTCTATTTGTCCCTGTTTTTTTGCTATATAAGACCTTACTTTTCCAGTGGAGAAAGAATCGTGTGTTCCTTTGTGGTTCTATTAAATTATTCTGACACCTTGAAAACGTGTATTCGATATTTAGTAATACTAGTATTTGGCAAACTGGCCCCAAAAAGCATATAAAGTTGTTCTTTGTATTTAGGCATGTGATAACACAAAAGTCATTGTCAAACACAACAATGACGTCGTTCGGGATCAAATCTCATTCGATGTGTTTCGATTTGGACACAAACACATCTTGTCTGTAATTTGAAAACATCATGGCGTTTTGCACGTGCGTTCCTTGAATGTGGACGCATAGAAGGCAATGTGAACTTCTAGTTGATCACACCTCATGAGTATGCCAGCCTTGACGTTAGAAGAGAGGAACCACGCTCTTGGGATGTTACTGGCTGGTTCATGGAGACAGCCGCCACAAGCCATTTCCACATGTACCAAACGACCATTGGCTGACTCTTCACGCGGTATCAACATACAGGTAGCATACGTGACCGACCCGGACAGGGCGCCGCCAACAACTCAATTGTCGCTTCAGGCACCAAGAGACCCGTGAAGATCCGGGGTAGAATAGGTCTTCATCAACCATTGCTTGCCGTAAGAGGGGATTAACGGGATCGGGTGGTCAGGCTCGACGACTTGGTTGATGCATGTCATCGTATCTTAATTGCGTAGATCGATGATCATGATGTCAATAACTGGATTGTCTGGTCCAGACTCGATTATTTACGCAGTCATATGGCTGGAATATTGTTGAGTGCGGCGTTAAACAACAAACACGCAAACAAACAAACAAAACTCACTCATTCATATGAAGGATCTCTATCTGAAAACGCCCCTTAAGGTGACAGATATGTTCACATTGTCACTTATATATATTTTCTTCTGTACTCATCTTAGTTGCGAAAATAATAATCGTTACATAATGTATATCTGTTGTCTATAACACAGTTTATGTTTAAGGAAGTGAAAGTTACTGTGGCACCATCCTTACCTCTGTTTCATTTCCTTTCCTCTTGGTAAACGATGCCTCGTTGTAACAGTTCATGCAGACAGCCGACAGCTTCATCACATGCTCTGCTAGCGGCACGAGATTCAAGATGTCTCCGAAACCCTGAACATTAATTACGCCATTCAGAGTAATTCGATATGCCGGTTAAATAAAACAATTCATGGCCATCAGACATGCTGGTAACATTGTGTCTATTCAGTGTTTGTTTGCTTGTTGTTTAACGCCGCGAGCTGCTGTCTGTAAAAAATAAAGTCTGGGCCAGACATCCAGTGAACATCATGAGCAGCAATGCCTTTTACGGCAAGCATGGGTTGCTGAAGACCTATTCTACCCCGGATCTTCACGGGTCGACTATTCATTGGACTATGCACATAAATTATTTCTAACTAGCTGTCAGCTATATTTAACTTACCTTCTTCTGGAATGTCGCGTCTAGTGCTGCTACTATGACAACTTTCCCCTTCTCTGCCATTGTATCAGCAAAAACCACCACGTCAGGAAACTGTAAGCAAACCAAGTAAGTCGGGCAACTGCATGTCACGTGCATCCTTGACTAGCCAGTGTATTTTTCTACATTATTTAAGAAATAAACGACGAGTGTGAGTTGGCTATCGTACAATAAAACACTGCGGGGAGAATAAACCATGAGGAGTGCAGTGTTTTATTGTACCATAAACAACGACCACGTGTCGATTATTTCTTATTACATGAGATATCAACATGATGTACAGCCTCTTTAAGGATGATGATAAACTGTACAAGCTTTAAAGATATTTCCCCGTAATTTTATAATGATGACTCAATAGAGTCAGACCTCAGCAATGTCGCACAAGTCCAATTTGTGCACAGGTGGGTATTTCCCGAATATTCTCACAACCCTAACGTCGAATACCTGTACCTTTTCTCCCCAAACCGATTGTCATATCACTCCCGCTTTTGGATGCGATCGTTCGGCCGCCGCATTTATCTGCGTTGCCCAGCTACATCTATTGGGAACAACCCACTTGACACTCCCCTCTCCCTAATATACGACGTCAAGTTGCGAGCGCATGTTCGAATCTCCAGAAATGACGTCATGATAGAACAATGTTTTATCGTTAAATAAACCACACTTCATTCTTTAATTGTCCTTTTCGATTCACCGCGTAGCTGTGTTATATATTACGATACATACCCTGGACCCGTATTTACTAATTTGTATGGCTTATTCATCATGGTTAATTCGATGTCTTATGTAGAATTTTACGACAATTCATCCATTGTTAAATTTATAAAAACGTATTTCATCAATATCCACGGTTATCATTCTTACATTTTCCAAATGAAATATGTATTTCATGCTACGAAACTCAAAGTGTCTCTTCAAATATAACCTCTAGCAATATATTCAATTAGTTCATTTTTCAAATTTCAAGCTTTCCTCTTTGTTCCTTCTCTTGTTATTGAATTATTTTGAATATCGTTGTTCCACATTAGTTGTTAACTCCGAATGGAACTTTGTAATGCACTATGAATATGTACTTAATCCTTGACCCTTGAACGCTATCTTTCATTTAACAACTCATTTAACCCTGACCTGCACCACAAATGTTGTTTGTATAACTATTGTTTAGAATTTGTTTGCTGAAAGCCTGACCTCCGCGTTAAATGTTTCAAACAGACTTAACACGTTTATAAAAAAAATCGCCTAACAACGTGAATGATTTGTTTTTAGTAAGCGTATGCCGTAAGTACTTAGCGAACGACCCCTAGGAAATTAACAGACTAATGTTTCCTTTTAAAATTAAATGAGTGAGGGAGTTCGGTTTTACACCGCTTGACAGTATTCCAGCTATATCACGGCGTGCCGTTTAATGTAAAAGTAAGTGGTCTCAGACGAATACAACTTTGGTGAAACCCACGAGTACTGGTATGGTGCTGACAAGCCTAGGAACATAATCAGGGCGAACCGGGACTCGAACCTACAATCTTATGATATGTTTCTGGTGTTCCCAAGGGATGCAGCTCTACACAGGGAAATGCGGCGGCAGTGCCTCATTCCCCACACCTACACCCCACACCCCACCCCACCCTCTCTCTCTCTCTCTCTCTCTCTCTCTCTCTCTCTCTCTCTCTCTCTCTCTCTCTCTCTCTCTCTCTCTCTCTCCGCGTGCAACTTTCTCTAACAACATTCACTCACTCTTCCTTACTTACGAACTGTCCCTCGTCAATGCCTATGACGTCATACTTCAGCGCCTCAGGTATGAGAGACATCAGCTCATGGGCAGCAGTGGCAGACAACACTGTTCTAAACATTGGGAATAAGGGTTTCATTCAGAAGCTTCAAACTTACAGGAAATTGGACATATTTCACGTTCTGCGAATATTTCCAATACTTTCTAATTGGTTAGACCTGGCAAACATGTTTTGTTTAATTGTTTCAACAGAATGACGTGGTCGGAATTATAAAAAGCAAAATGACAGAAATTATTTTCGAAGACAGTAAGGCGTTAATAATTTTTTTTGATTAAATATAAATGATTAAGTGGTTATAGATTTTACACTTTGACAACACTGCCCGACAAAAGAAAGTATACACCCATGTTTGTTGGCGTCAAAATGATAAACAAACCAAAACTGGTTATTCGATGGTTATGTATTGGATACAGGTATCATAAACTGGCGGCCAAAAGAAACTTAACCAGAGTTTTAAATCACTCCATAGTTTCAAAACAACAAAAGATAGATGCATGAAGTAAAATGTATTGAAAAGATCAAAATCTCAACGAAATCAGCATTTAAAATGATAGGCATACAACATCCGATATTGGCATGACAGTTGCCCGAATTGAGGCAGCAAGAACAAGCTTTTAACGTAATGAACAAAGGGCACGCACATCTAAATTCGATCTAGTTCAATGACACGTCACATCAATAGCGTGTATGAGCACCCCCTGCTACAAGACACGAAAAAACTCCGGCGCACAAAAAAGTCTGTCGTCTAATGACGTCGCGTGGGATAAGTCGCCATTCTTCTTGGATGACCTGGATCAGTTCTTGTCGGACTGGAAGATGTGGTCGCGATCCATGACATCCCGGCTTTCGGTTGAGACGATCATTTTCCAGTGATGGTGATGCTAACGACGTACAGTCCGGGACCACCCCAATCTCTGACGACGATGTTGCGCTGTCAATAACTGTCCTCTGTTTGGTCTGTAAGCCCTCATTCATTGAGTCATGAGTCTCCTGGCCACTGTTTGTCGACCAACCATATGTCCCATGGCTTAAGCCGCTGATGACGTCACCGTCAAGAATAAATTCCGGAGATGCAAAATACGTAATTACCGGTCATCTTTGGGCGTAGTTACCCTGGTCTGTTCTTGGCCTGTCTGATGTCTGCCCGGTCTGTATGTAACATTGCAAAAGGGTATAGCAACAAAGTTCAAGCAATGTGGGAATGGGTGGCCCCCATCAGTATCATACCCAGGGCCCGCGCGCGTTGTTTGGATGTCAGTAGTGGAATTTCTGTGGTTGTTATTTTTTTTATCAGAGTGAGTGTCCATATCATTTATATACCCTTATTGCACGTATAGTTTCGGCTGCCGTTGCGGCACGTGTTTTTCACTTTTTCGCTTGTTCTACAAAAAACCGTAGCCTGAACATCCCTTTCTGTGTAGAGCATTGTTGTGTTTGGACGATGTATTTTAAACTGATTTTGTTGAACTTTCTTTTGGCCGTCTGTCACTTTTTTTGACCTGGCAGATTAAATTGGCATCGTCGACTTTGGCAGAGCGTGCAGGCAAACTGGGTAAAAAACCCAACAGAAAATAGTTTGAGGTTGAACGGATCAAATGTATCAAATAATCAATTTTGTTTGGCTCAATTAGAAAAAAGTGGCTCCGACAAGTAGTCAGCGGTTTTACCTGTCGTGTGTAGCGATGCCATGATTGTCGTAGCGGGTGTCTTTGGCGTACTTCACTATGAGACAGGAGTGGTTAGCTACCTGGTATCTCTTCATTAATCTCATTAATTCTGTGCTGTAAAAAGCAGGGATCGAGAATGCATTGTAAGATGTGAGTTAAGGAATAAAATTTATTATTAAATCAGATCTTTTACTCCAATACGATTCCCCTCTGAAAAGGAGGTCATGTCAGGTGAACAGTCAAGTTTGGTCACCTTGCACGACCTTCTATAGAGTTTCGTCAGATCTTCATGAAGGGAGGGGCCATATCGGAGTGAAAGACGTGACCTTAATTGTGTGGCGTGAATGTGTGACGGAAATGCTTTGTTGTTTTACGCCGCAATCTGCTATTCCAACTATGTGGCGCCCCCCTGTAAATAATCGGGTGGACCAGACAAGCCAGTGATTGATTATGTAAGTAACGTCCCAAGCTATCGGGGTACTATGACACTCAGCCAAGACACTCAACCGATGCCCTGTTGGGGACCTATTCTACTCGTGAATCCCATGGGGCGGTGATCGTTACCGCCTTTTTATTTTGTTATGCTACTTTGGTTCTGAACATGTGTCAACTATCTATGTCAGACCATTCGTTTTATATGACCTTATTAAAATAATACTATTATAACAAATGTCGTCAAATGTTTGCATGAATATATACTTTATTATTTCATAATAAGAAAGTACAAGAGCGTTAAATTTGACGCGTTTTGTTAACGATGATAATCCGAAACAATTCACTTACGTTTTGCCGGAGAACATGGGTCCAAAGATTATCTGAAACAAATTAGAAAATATTATAATATTATTGAAATGTTTGGAACAAAATACATGTATACATGCAATTGTACATGTATCATACAGCCCACTAGAGTTTACAAATGTTACGTTGAGGAACATTTTAAACTGTTTGTGAAATTTATCAAATAACGCCTCATTTATTATTTATGATCATTGACTTGCTTATGGTTACTTTTGCCATAGTTAAAAACTTGGATTTGATCATGTCTTTAAAAAAAGTTGAAACAGCCATTGCAACCCTTCCTAATGAACTTGGAAATGTGGACAGAGTATCAACAGAGTCAAATACATACTGACGGCTGAAAGACATGAACAAATTTGAGTTTTCAAAATTTTGGAGTAAAATCAACCGTGGGCAAGTCAATGAGCATAATTTGGCATTTAATTATATCAAGCGGTTCACCAATTACACTGTAATAATAGAGCTTATTAATCTCGTGTGGTTCCACACAAGGAATGCAATATGCGAGGGGTGATTGGTTATGCTCTGAGCCAAGACGTGACATCAAGATATTTGAATGATTTATTTTTCAACGCAGTTCCTTTCCACGTTGATATGATTCTGTCAACGTTGAAATCCTTCTCTTGGCTGCCGTTCACGTTCGCCATAGCTGCTAAGACGTCATCGTTCAAGTCGAAATGGGTTCCGGCAAGAGCGTTCTTCGTGTTTAAAAATAGATGGAAGTCTGGCAGGACAGATATGGAGAATAAGGTGGGACTATCTTCCAATGATTCAAGATTTCAAGATTCAAGATTCTTTATTCAGTATTTTGGGCCATGTGGCCTAGAGTACAATTGCAAATACACTAATTGCTGCGTCACGTGATGTCAGGAAAATAAATACAAGTAGTCTTATTTCACATTAAATACATGATTTAAGTATAAGGCCAAAGCCTTTACAATGTTGATATTTCTGGAGTTGAGAAGATTACATAAACTGGGATTATCATGATGGACATTGGATAACCAAGGCAAATAGTGGTTTCTGACAGAAGAATATTTTGAACATAAAAACAAAAGATGAAATTCATCCTCTAATTGCCTCCCTTTACAGTGGGTACATAGATATAAATTCAAGTCTTCATTTGTATGTTTTGACTTTCTTAGCATGTTAATCTTAAAAACCGTGTAGCGATATTCTGAATTTACAATATGCTCTCCTGAGTGATTTATTCGTGAGATTATTGATGTAAAATTCTGGCTGTAAAAGTGATTTCAAATTTGCAAAATGAGACAGATATTTTGATGAAGAAATAGAGTCATGCCACTCTTGAGAATACATATCACTCCGCCTTTGTTTTATTTTTAGTAAAAATAGATTTTCATCGCCAATAAGTTGAGAGATCCATACAAATGAAAAGCCTGAAGAAAACAAAATATATCTTACATCAGACACCCAGGTGTGTTTATCATTATCATCTAACTGTTTAAGTAGATTGTAACATTGTTATGGATGTTATGGATATCGACATGGATTCATACGTAGCAATCTCAATCAGTATTTAAGTACCCTTATTTTGCTAAACACGAACATATTTAATCGCCCAGTTTCACCAAGAATAGCTTTATTAGATGCATATTTTCCGATACAAAGATAGTTTTTAAAATAGGACGTATGTACTTTTTCTATACATTCATAATATTTTGCCCCCCAGATTTCAGCCCCATAAAGTAATATAGGAGCAATCTTACAATCAAACATTGTACAAGCTGTTTCGAATGTTATATAGCTATTTCTTTTGAAAGCATGATAAATGGCTCTAGTGGCTTTAGAAGCCTGTGATGCTAGGTTTTTACAGGCCATTAGCCAGATTAGCCTTGAGGAGAAAAATACTCCAAGATACTTGTAGTAAGTGACAAGTTTTACATTTATAGAACGATAGGACCATTTTTCATTTTTTCGTATAATACCATCGTTTCGGAATACAATTATTTTTGTTTTATCAAGATTCACACTTAGGCCCCAGGTAATGCAAAATTTTCTTAAGATATCTAATTGTCTTTGTAGACCAATAACTGTATATGAGAACATAGTCACATCGTTGGCAAAAAGTAGTAGCATAATATCTTCAATACTTTCTGAAACAAACACACCATGACAGCACGTTTTGTAAATGTCAGTTACAAGCTCATTAATAAAGAAGATAAACAAAAGTGGGCGTAAGATACAGGTAAATACCAGACAATAAACGACGAATATTATGCTGCACTTTTGAGTCAATTACGGGATGAAATTAAGACTAACAGACGTTGAAAGCTGATGATAATTTCTTAATTTCCACACTTTCTGTGATAATGGAATGGAATCGTTCCTGGTAAATACCTACTTATCTTGCAATATGTGGATATACCGCTATGACATCATATACTGTCAATAACAAAATATTTCACGCGCTTGCTTCTATATGAGGCTCAGAACTTATCAATAATCACTAGTATATACCTTTCAGAATTCAGACGTGAAAGTTCGTCTCAGCGAAAACTAAGGTTAATTTTTCACTGAAAACGTGAGGCAATTGTGAAGTCGTTGATAGAATAAAACTTATACCAGTTTATAAACCAGATCATTCATAACAACCAGCTTGAAGCTGATAAAATGTCACAAAAATAGTTGTGTAGTACAATAATGCCCTCCCATCATGACACTGAAACTTTACCAAAGCATTTACCTGAATATGCCCTCTGTGGCTGGTAACTGCCGTTGGTGAAGGGATCAGGTGATTTGTAGACATCATATTGATATATGTTATAGATGTAGCGAAACGTGCTTGTTCCATAATAATCACAGTTAGTCTAAAGCTCTAACAAGTGTGATCCACTGACATCGCTATGCTCCGCCCCGGATCACGCCCACTGAGGTTCTAAATTAGGCGAACATGCGACTGGCAGCAACACGGAACACAGAAATGTGCACGAGTTCGCTTGTCGCCCGAGGTTAATTAAATAAGGTACACATAAATGGTTTACGGGTTTTCACACCACTTCAGGGACTAGACAAAACAAAGATTTTGTGGTCTTCGGGGGTTTCCACATCACACCAGGAACGTGAAACCAAAAACACATATGGTTTAGGCGTTTTCACACCACACCAGGGACCAGACAGCACAAACATATATGGTTTACGGGTTTTCACACCACTCCAGGGACCAGACAAAACAAAGATTTTGTAGTCTTCGGGGGGTTCCACGTCACACCAGGAACGTGAAACAAAAAACACATATGGTTTACGCGTTTTCACGCCACACCAGGGACCAGACAGCACAAACATATATGGTTAACGGGTTTTCACACAACAGCAGGGACCAGACAAAACAAAGATTTTGTAGTCTTCGGGGGTTTTCACGTCACACCAGTAAGCTGAAACCAAAAACACATATGGTTTATGGGTTTTCAAACCCCACCAGGGACCATACAGCACAAACATATATGGTTTACGGGTTTTCACACCACTCCAGGGACCAGACAAAACAAAGATTTTGTGTTCTTCGTGGGTTTCCACATCAAACCAGTAAGCTGAAACCAAAAACACATATGGTTTATGGGTTTTCAAACCAGACCAGGGACCATACACCACAAACATTTATGGTTTACGGGTTTTCACACCACTCCAGGGACCAGACAAAACAAAGATTTTGTAGTCTTCGGGGGTTTCCTCATCACAACAGGAATCTGAAACCAAAAACACTTATGGTTTAAGGGTTTTCACACCACGGCAGCCACCATACAGCACAAACATTTATGGTTTACGGGTTTTCACACCACTCCAGGGACCAGACAAAACAAAGAATTTGTAGTCTTCGGGGGTTTCCTCATCACAACAGGAATCTCAAACCAAAAACACTCATTGTTTATGGATTTTCACACCACAGCAGCCACCATACAGCACAAACATATATGGTTTATGGGTTTTCACACCACTCCAGGGACAGGACAAAACAAATATTTTGTAGTCTTCGGGGGTTTTCTCATCACAACAGTAATCTGAAACCAAAAACACTGATGGTTTAGGCGTTTTCACACCACACCAGGGACCAGACGGCACAAACATACATGATTTAAAGGTTTTCACACCACTCCAGGGACCAGAAAAAACAAAGATTTTGTAGTCTTCGGGGGTTTCCTCATCACAACAGGAAGCTGAAACCAAAAGCACATATGGTTTACGGGTTTTTACGCTATTGCAGGGATCAGACGGCACAAACATATATGGTTTATGGGTTTTTACACCACACCAGGGACCAGACAGCACAAACATACATGGTTTACGGGTTTTCACACCACTCCAGGGACCAGACAAAACAAAGATTTTGTAGTCTTCGGGGGTTTTCTCATCACAACAGGAATCTGAAAGCATGAACACATATGGTTTACGGTTTTTCACACCAAGGCAGGGATCAGACGGCACAAACATATATGGTTTACGGATTTTCACACCACTCTAGGGACCAGACAAAACAAAGATTTTGTGGTCTTCGGGGGTTTCCACATCACACCAGGAATCTCAAACCCAAAACACATATGGTTTATGAATTTCACACCACACCAGGGACCATACAGCACAAACATTTATGGTTTACGGGTTTTCAAACCACTCCAGGTTCCAGACTAAACAAAGATTTTGTAGTCTTCAGGGGTTTCCTCATCACAACAGGAAGCTGAAACCAAAACCACTTATGGTTTACGGGTTTTCACACCACACCAGGGACCAAACAGCACAAACATACATGGTTAACGGGTTTTCACACCACTCCAGGGACCAGACAAAACAAAGATTTTGTAATCTTCGGGGGTTTTCTCATCACAACAGGAATCTGAAACCAAAAACACATATGGTTTACGGGTTTTCACACCACGGCAGGGATCAGACAGCACAAACATATATGGTTTACGGGTTTTCACACCACTCCAGGGACCAGACAAAACAAAGATGATTTTGTGGTCTTCGGGGGTTTCCTCATCACACCAGGAAGCTGAAACCAAAAACACATATGGTTTAGGCATTTTCACACCACACCAGGGACCATACAGCACAAACATATATGGTTTACAGGTTTTCACACCACTCCAGGGACCAGACAAAACAAAGAATTTGTAGTCTTCGGGGGTTTCCTCATCACAACAGGAATCTCAAACCAAAAACACTCATTGTTTATGGATTTTCACACCACAGCAGCCACCATACAGCACAAACATATATGGTTTATGGGTTTTCACACCACTCCAGGGACAGGACAAAACAAATATTTTGTAGTCTTCGGGGGTTTTCTCATCACAACAGTAATCTGAAACCAAAAACACTGATGGTTTAGGCGTTTTCACACCACACCAGGGACCAGACGGCACAAACATACATGATTTAAAGGTTTTCACACCACTCCAGGGACCAGAAAAAACAAAGATTTTGTAGTCTTCGGGGGTTTCCTCATCACAACAGGAAGCTGAAACCAAAAGCACATATGGTTTACGGGTTTTTACGCTATTGCAGGGATCAGACGGCACAAACATATATGGTTTATGGGTTTTTACACCACACCAGGGACCAGACAGCACAAACATACATGGTTTACGGGTTTTCACACCACTCCAGGGACCAGAAAAAACAAAGATTTTGTAGTCTTCGGGGGTTTTCTCATCACAACAGGAATCTGAAAGCATGAACACATATGGTTTGCGGTTTTTCACACCAAGGCAGGGATCAGACGGCACAAACATATATGGTTTACGGATTTTCACACCACTCTAGGGACCAGACAAAACAAAGATTTTGTGGTCTTCGGGGGTTTCCACATCACACCAGGAATCTCAAACCCAAAACACATATGGTTTATGAATTTCACACCACACCAGGGACCATACAGCACAAACATTTATGGTTTACTGGTTTTCAAACCACTCCAGGTTCCAGACTAAACAAAGATTTTGTAGTCTTCAGGGGTTTCCTCATCACAACAGGAAGCTGAAACCAAAACCACTTATGGTTTACGGGTTTTCACACCACACCAGGGACCAAACAGCACAAACATACATGGTTAACGGGTTTTCACACCACTCCAGGGACCAGACAAAACAAAGATTTTGTAATCTTCGGGGGTTTTCTCATCACAACAGGAATCTGAAACCAAAAACACATATGGTTTACGGGTTTTCACACCACGGCAGGGATCAGACAGCACAAACATATATGGTTTACGGGTTTTCACACCACTCCAGGGACCAGACAAAACAAAGATGATTTTGTGGTCTTCGGGGGTTTCCTCATCACACCAGGAAGCTGAAACCAAAAACACATATGGTTTAGGCATTTTCACACCACACCAGGGACCATACAGCACAAACATATATGGTTTACAGGTTTTCACACCACTCCAGGGACCAGACAAAACAAAGATTTTGTAGTCTTCGGGGGTTTCCTCATCACAACTGGAAGCTGAAACCAAAACCACTTATGGTTTACGGGTTTTCACACCACACCAGGGACCAAACAGCACAAACATACATGGTTAACGGGTTTTCACACCACTCCAGGGACCAGACAAAACAAAGATTTTATAGTCTTCAGGGGTTTCCTCATCACAACAGGAAGCTGAAACCAAAAACACATATGGTTTAAGGGTTTTCACACCACGGCAGGGATCAGACAGCACAAACATATATGGTTTACGGGTTTTCACACCACTCCAGGGACCAGACAAAACAAAGATTTTGTGGTCTTCAGGGGTTTCCACATCACACCAGGAATCTCAAACCCAAAACACACATGGTTTATGAATTTCACACCACACCAGGGACCATACAGCACAAACATTTATGGTTTATGGGTTTTCAAACCACTCCAGGCACCAGACTAAACAAAGATTTTGTAGTCTTCAGGGGTTTCCTCATCACAACAGGAAGCTGAAACCAAAACCACTTATGGTTTACGGGTTTTCACACCACACCAGGGACCAAACAGCACAAACATACATGGTTAACGGGTTTTCACACCACTCCAGGGACCAGACAAAACAAAGATTTTGTAATCTTCGGGGGTTTTCTCATCACAACAGGAATCTGAAACCAAAAACACATATGGTTTACGGGTTTTCACACCACGGCAGGGATCAGACGGCACAAACATATATGGTTTACGGGTTTTCACACCACTCCAGGGACCAGACAAAACAAAGATGATTTTGTGGTCTTCGGGAGTTTCCTCATCACACCAGGAAGCTGAAACCAAAAACACATATGGTTTAGGCATTTTCACACCACAGCAGGGACCATACAGCACAAACATTTATGGTTTACGGGTTTTCACACCACTCCAGGGACCAGACAAAACAAAGATTTTGTAGTCTTCGGGGGTTTCCTCATCACAACAGGAAGCCGAAAGCAGGAACACATATGGTTTGCGGTTTTCCACACCACGGCAGGGATCAGACGGCACAAACATACATGGTTTACGGGTTTTCACGTCACTCCAGGGACCATACAGCACAAACATATATGGTTTACGGATTTTCACACCACTCCAGGGACCAAACAAAAAAAAGATTTTGTAGTCTTTGAGGGTTTCCACATCACACCAGTAAGCTGAAACCAAAAACACATATGGTTTAGGCGTTTTCACACCACACCAGGGACCAGACGGCACAAACATATATGGTTTATGGGTTTTCACACCACACCAGGGACCAAACAGCACAAACATTTAGGGTTTACGGGTTTTCACACCACTCCAGGGACCAGACAAAACAAAGATTTTGTAGTCTTCGGGGGGTTCCTCATCACAACAGGAATCTAAAACCAAAAACACTTATGGTTTACAGGTTTTCACACCACGGCAGGCAACATACAGCACAAACATTTATGGTTTACGGGTTTTCACACCACTCCAGGGACCAGACAAAACAAAGATTTTGTAGTCTTCGAGGGTTTCCACATCACACCAGTAAGCTGAAACCAAAAACACATATGGTTTAGGCGTTTTCACACCACA